CCCGACTCACCGCGACTCCCGGCCCATGCTGCCGAGGCCCCGAGGGGAGCAGGGCGCGCGCACTTGCACGACGGAGGTGGGACGGGAGGGCGCCGAGCGACACCGGCCCTAAGACGCCGCGGATGCCACGGCGGAGGCCGCTCCTGTGGAGACCGCCGCCATCCCCAGCGCGGCCAACGAAAACAGGAAGTGCCGGTGCCGGCCGCCCGCCCGCCCACCGGAAGCCGGACACAGACAGCCGGAAGCTGTCTTCTCCCCCCCCCTCCACAGCGACACTCAGCGGCCGGAGTCCGCGCTGCCACGCTTGCCTTTCGCCTAGAGCGCCACCTGTAGGTCGGAGGCCGCAGGCTGCATATAAAGCAGATGGCCAAGGCCAAAGGCCAACAGGTGTGTGGCAAGGATGGAATGGTGGACCTGGCTCGCCCTGCCAGAGTCCTTGCTACAGATCGTGTGCTCCTGTCTGCCTTCATCTGCACTACATCACACTGCCTAGTCTCTGCACACGAGCTTTATCTGGGCATGCTGTCCCCTCGTGCCAGGCCCGCCCAGCTCCTTGGGAGATTTGCTCAAGTGTAGTGATGGACTGAAAACAACACAGCGGGCAGATGGCCCTTCGCACGAGAACAATCCACACGGGAGAGGGCCAAGCTCCCAAGGAAGGAGCTGCCAGACTCACACCTGTCATCCCAGCCACTCTGGAGGCAGAGATCTGAGGATCGCCGTTTGAAGTCAGCCCAAGGAGGAAAGGCCATGAGATTCTTATCCCCCAATGAACCACCAAAAAATCCAAGTGGCTCTGTGGCTCAAGTGGGTAGAACACCAGCCTTGAGCAAAAAAAGCTCAGGGACAGTGGCTAGGCCCTTAGTTCAAGCCCCAAGACACACACACACACACACACACACACACACACACACACACACAATAGGAGTTAATAGCAAAGACAAAGAGCAAATTAAAAAGATTGTAACAGTTCTCCACAAGGCATGCACAGGGAAGGTTCAGGTAGAATAAGGATGCTGTAATTTCTCTAGAGGTCTTCGTTCAGCACTGTGAAATTTTAAGCTTCCCAGTGATTACAAAATACTGTCGAGGATGAGGGTGAATGGTCTCCTAAAAACACACACATCATAATGTAGTCTTTTGTTTTGTTTCCTCTCTTGATTTTGACTGAGCCAGGGCACTGTCTTTTAGTTTTTTCAAGAATAAAGGCTATGCTGGGTGCTGGTGGCTCATGCCTATAATCCTAACTACTCAGGAAGCTGAGATCTGAGGATCATGATTCAAAGCCAGCCCAGACAAGGAAAGTCTGTGAGACTCTGATCTCCAATGAACCACCACCAGAAAACGAGAAGTGGCGCTGTGGCTCAAGTGGTAGAGCGCTCCCCTTGAGCTGAGGAGCTGAGGGACAGTGCCCAGGCCCAGAGTTCAAGACCCATAATCAGAAAAAACAAAAACAGAAATTTGGCGATGTTGTACGATTACTGGAACTTTATGTCAAATGGTTAAATGACTTTTTGGGGGTCTCAAGGCTAGCATTCTACCACTTGAGCCACAGCGCCACTTCTGGCTTTTTCTGTCTCTGTGGTACTGAGGTATTAAATCCAGGAATTCATGCATGCTAGACAAGCACTGTACCACTGAGCCACCTTCCCTACCCCAATGTAACTTTTTTTTTTTTTTTGGTCAGTTGTGGGGCCTGAACTCTGGGCCTGGGCAATGTCCCTCAGCAGTTCAGCTCAAGGCTAGCGCTCTACCACTTAAGCCACAGCACCACTTCCGGCTTCTTCTGCTTCTGTGGTACTGAGGAATCAAACCCAGGGCCTCATGCATGCAAGGTAAGCACTCTACCACTGAGCTACCTTCCCAGCCCTGAGACTTTTCTTAAGAGGACAAAAGTGGTGAACATGCAATTCCAGACAATTAGTGTACCCAGGGCTTAAGGGAGTAATGACAACTCTAAACATGGGTTAGGTATGAACTTGGGAAATGTGTTTGCTTGTAATCTGAATCCCAAATCAAAAGAACAGACTTGCAGCTAAGTGCTAGTGGCTCAATAGCTGTCATCCTAGCTACCTAGGAGGCTGAGGGTCATGGTTTGAGGCCAGCCCAGGGGAGAAGGAATAATTATCAACCAATAGCTAGATGCATTTGCAGGTTCCTAGTTAAGTAAGAAGTTGAGATCAGGACTAGCCTGATCTAAAAAGGACACAAGCTTCCATAGTACGGATTGCAATGTGGCTTAGTGGTAGAGTGCTCACCTAGCATGCATGAAGCCCTGGGTTCAATTCCTCAGTACCACATACACAGAAAAAGCCAGAAGTGGCACCGTGGTAGAGTGCTAGCCTTGAGCAAAAGCAGCTCAGGGACAGTGCCCAGGCCCTGAGTTCAAGCCCTAGGACTGGCAAAAAAAAAAAAAAAAAAGATTCCATCGCAAAGGAAAGCTAGGTGTGGTGGAATGCACCTGTCAGCTACAGTAGAAAGTGATCCAATTCCCAGCCAACACTCAAGTAGGAAATATGAAAAACAGCACTGGTAGCTCATGCCTCTTACACTAGGTACTCAGGAGGCTAAGATATGAGAGGATCGTGGTTTGAAGCCAAGCCAGGCAGAAAGGTCCCCAGGAGATTCATCTCCAATTAACCACTCAAAAATCAGAAGTGGAGATGGGGCTCAAAGTTGTAGACCATTAGCATTGAGCAAAAGAGCTCAGGACAGCGCCCAGGCCTCAAGTTCAAGCTCCATGACTGACCCGAAACAAATCAAAAATTGTTTTGAATTAAAAAAAAAATCAACCAAATCTGTAAGGATTCGACAAGCCTTAAGACACTTCAGTTTTATCCTGGGTTTTTTATTTTTGTTGGTCCTGGGGTTTGAACTCAGGGCCTGGGTGCTGTCCCTGAGCTCTTTTGCTCAACCCAAACACTCTACCATTTGAGCCACAATGCCATTTCCGGTTTTCTGGCAGTTCATTTGAGAATCTCATGGACTTTTCTGCCTAGGGTGGCTTTGAACCAGGATCCTCAGATCTCAGCCTCCTGAGTAGCTAGGATGACAAGCGTGAGCCACCAGCACCCGGCTATTATGCTATTATGTATGACTGGAACTCAATGGAACAGCACTTGTCTACCACCATACACAAGGACCTTCATAGGTTTGATATCAGCACAGCAAAAAAAAAAAAAAAACAAGGAAAAAATCAACAAATATTCCACATTGTGATATTTAAAAAGTCAAAGGGAAAATTTCCAAGTGTGGTATACAGTTAATTAAAAACTTCACAAAAGCCGGGCGCTGGTGGCTCATGCCTGTAATCCTAGCTACTCAGGAGGCTGAGATCTGAGGATCGAGGTTCAAAGCCAGCCTGGGCAGGAGAGACCTTGAAACTCCTATCTCCAATAAACCACCAGAAAACCGGAAGTGGCGCTGTAGCTCAAGTGGTAGAGCTCTTGCCTTGAGCTGAAGAGCTGAGGGACAGCGCCCAGGCCCAGAGTTCAAGCCCTACGACCGACAAAAAAAAAAAAACTTCACAAAAGCCAGGTGCCAGTGGATCATGCCTGTAATCCTAGCTACTTAGGAGGGAGGCTGAGATCTGAGGATCATGGTTCAAAGCCAGCCCAGGCAGGACCATCTGTGAGACTATCATCTCTAATGAACCACAACCAGAAGAGAGAGGTGCTATGGCTCAAGTGGTAGAGAGCTAGCCTTGAACTGAAGAGCTGAGGGACAGCACCCAGGCCCAGAGTTCAAGCCCCACGACTCTATGAGCCCTATTTGAATCCCCAGGCCTCATACGTGCTACAGCAAGCACTCTGCCACTGACCTACACTATCAGCCCACTTCTGTGAATGTTAACCATTTCTCCTCTTAAATATTTAAATAAAAATGAAGATACTAAAACAAAACAAAAAAGGCAAATAACACGTGTATGTAGCCCCTATGTGAAGATGTACTGGCTAACCATCAGTTCAATTTCTATCATTTTATTTTTAGAATGGTTTTCATTTCTCAAGACAGAACAACACAATACAAGAAAGCAGTCCTTGGGGCTGGCTGACACCGTGTGTATCTGCTCCCCTAAAAGCACTAGCTCAGTCTCCAAAAGAGGAATTACAAGTCTCAAAGATAGGGGAGAGGTTTAGACTAGGGATTCTAATTAAACAAGAGAAATCAGTAATGACATTGTTATTCTATTCTTCATACCAGTACTAACACAAACTCACCCCTTTAAAATCAGGGAATCTGTCATTGGGATTATAATCAAATGGTTTTACAAGGTCTGTAAAGAGAATTAAAGGTGTAAACCAATTTGCCCCCTTTAGAGGCGCTGCAATAGGGAAGATTCGTTGTGTTCTGTTTTGCAGGCTTCTCCTTTCCAGTTCTTCGGGACTCACGGTACTTCAGAGCCCCAGTAATCAAGTAGTTCATGACAAAAGATGAAAGTGAAGAAGTAGACGCAGAGGTCTGTAAAGACCTCACCCATTTTGCTGTAGGTATCCATGGACCGATTTATCACTTCAGCAGGAATTCCAGATAACAGAAGGGCAGCAGTTAGTACCGTCGTCTTTATCTTCTTTTCACCCTGCAGAGAAAAAGTCAAATGAATCATACAGCTCTCAGGAAATTACACAAGCTCTTTTTAAAACATGATCAAAGCCAGGTGGCAGTGGCTCACACCTGTCATCCTAACTACTCAGGAGGCTTGAGATCTGAGGATTGTGGTTCAAAGCCAGCCTGGTCAGGAAAGTCCATGAGACACTTATCTGCAATGAGCCACCAAAAAACTGGAAGTGGTGCTGTGGTTCAAGTGGTAGAGTGCTCGCCTTGAGGGAAAAAGTGCAGGAACAGCACCCAACCCTTTGAGTTCAAGGCCCACAGCTGACAAAAAAAAACATGATCAAGGCCAGGTGCTGATGGCTCACACCTGTAATCCTAGCTACTCGGGTGGCTCAGATCTAAGGAACACAGTTCAAAGCCAGCTCAGTCAGTAAAGTCTATTAGACTCTTCAATTAATCACACAAAAGCTGAAAGTGGCACTGTGGCTCAAGTGGTAGAGGGCTAGCCTTGACCCAAAGGGACAGTGCCCAGGCCCAAAGTTCAAGCCTCAGAACAAGCAAAACAAAAACACAAAACAAAAAAAATCATCAAGGCCAGGTACCAGTGGCTCA